TGTGTGTATGATACCCAATAGAAGGGTAGTCCGATAAAATTATTATTGTTATTGTGGTGTCTATAATATATGAATAATATTAAGATTAATATGTGATGCGAGGCTGTATTATTTAAACAACTCTTTATGACTTTATAGTGGCAATTAGCACTCAAGTTCATCCGCCGCCGTTGCGAGGCAATTGATGTATAATTAGGAGGGAATTCGACATACCGAAAATTTTAACCCTAGTTATAAACAGGTATATGGGAGGGAACTAGGCATTATCCATTTGTCCTACCCTACAATCTTCACAATCAAACACAGGCAATAATTAGCACGCACGCAATGTCACCATAGTGTTGCTATAATTATTTTATTTTTGAGATCTAAGAAATTTCAAGTTAATCCTTAAGGCTTTTTCTTTGTTTCAGGCTATCAGTCAACATCCAGAAGGGTCCTAAAGATGCCTGATGTATAGCCGAAGAAGAAATGTCAACTGTATCCAAAGAGAATTTAATTCAACTTCACAAGTAGGTACTTACTTAGTGCTTCATTATTTAGGAAGTAGTTGTTTCTAAAAATGCCCCCCATTAATTTTATTTTGAAAAGTACGAAAGGGCTTCGGGCTTAATTAAACGGAAATTTCTGCTCGTATGGTCACGAGGACAATTTCGAAAAGGAATATAGGTAAAAGGACATCAAAAGCTCTCTTGTTAGACGAACATCGTAAGAGCCTTAAAGTGTCTCGATTATTGATATTTACGAGCGTCTCTGTTTTATTAGGAAAGATGTATGAAGTTGACTCTTAAAATGAGAAATAATGTTCTCTGAAATTGTTTTCTGTCTTTTGGGGCGTAATCGAGATCCTAAAGAGACTTCTTACGATCGCAAGCTGGACCTTGTTCGTCGCTTGTAAAGTTCTGTCTAGAATCTTGGAATTGGGCACAAACGGGTAAAAGGAGAAATCCAAAAGAGTATTAATTTGTCATTGTATGTGAGATTATAAATTGTATGCGTACCGTGAAGAAGATAAAACTGAAAGCTCCCTCTCTTAATTCCTTGCTAGGTAACACATACAGATTACTAATAAAAGTTCTATTCGAATCTGGCCCCCTACTTTCTACCAGATCCACCCACCAACCGAAAACTAATCTTTATTACCTATGAATATATTTACTTTGAGGAAATCAACTGTTAATCACAAAATAAAATTGAAAACACATTTCCAAATGTACAAAGTGCATTGAAAAACTTTTTAAGGATCATGATAACTAACGGAATTGGGTAGCGCTCTTTCTCCCAACTGAAAAGAATAAAATATGAAATAAAAAATACAACGGTTCAAGAAAGACTGATCAATATGTCACAAAATGTGATGTGCTTATAGACATAGACTTTGGACAACTGACTGACGATTTCGCTTTTATCAAAACTTTTCAATAAACATAGAATTTTAAGCACTAACCCGTGAACGCTATTGTGATTATAAAGAAATAAAAATAATTGTTCAATAAGTTTACAATTTTGCTTATCTGCCCTTTTTGGCTGTTGTAACAAAAACAGTCTTCTGTCAAAGCCATAAAGGCCCCGTTATTCTTATGTACCCAGGAGCACCAATTAAAGGTTAAAGACGGTCCTGCGCACATTCATGATTCGGACTCTGGTCAGGCGCGAAATGCACCGCACAGCTTGTGGAAATAACCGAGGGATATAAAGGAAAGGGAAAATAACTGATAGGGAAATGGAGCCATCAAATTAAAATAAAAATTAAATGAAATTGCACTTTTTCAATACTTGCTTTGTGTACTTTTACCGTATCTGATGACTTAGACAGAGATTTTTATCGTTTTTGGAAGTCCTTTTCGATATTTTAACCGTAAATGGCAGATATAGGTAGACGTGAGTTATTCAGGAGCCGAATTGAATGATCATATTCGAAACTACCGCATTGTTCGTGACGCATTAGGGATTCTATAACGTATAAATGTTCATTTCCGGAAATAATATGAAATCCGCCCGGCCGTTCTCCAACCGCCCCCCTCCAGTCACTCCGCCATACTCTCGTTGGTCGCTTTTACTCGCAGGGTAAAGCCGCGTCATTTCCTTATCATTATGGGCCTTCTATATTTTAGAGGGTGAGTTCTCACGCTCGCAGGAAATATTTTTCGCACAAAGCTTAATCTCATCAATCGCGAGCTGTTACACACCAGGAAAAGAAACGTAACATGCCCATTTTATTTCAAAATATGCTATTTATATCCGAAACGGATATTATGCCACTCGGTTTGTTTACGACGATAAAAAATGTCCAAATAATGTAAAATAACTATTATCTATAATATAACAATGGGAGTCATCTTCATAAGGTCGTCAGTCCTAAGACTGGTTGGACATGCATTTCCACTCCCTCCTATCTTGAGTTAATTTCGCATTTCCCTAAAACTGGAACATCCCACATCCTTAACTATTTGTGCACAGTAATCTAATCTAGGACAACCTCTACACCTTTTAACTCCTGTTTCTGCCTATAATATGTCTCTGACTAGCCCTTCATGTCCTACCAACTTATCTCGCCTATTTTTTATTGACTTCTGTAGAGTCCTCTGTTCTTCTATTCTTTCTAATATCTCTTCATTTCTAACCTTCTCTGTCCACGGTATCCTCATCATTCGCGGGTAACACCGCATATCGAAAGCTTCTAATCTTTTCTTTTCCGCCGCGTCTATCGTCCATGTTTCGCACCCGTACGGCGCCGCACTCCAAACATACACCTTTATCAATCGTTTTCGAATTTCTAAATTAATCGTTCGCGAGTATAGAAGTGAATCCTTTTTGTTGAAGGCGACTCGATCCTGCGCTATCCTCTGTTTTATATCCCTACTACTCATGCCTTCCTGACTTATCTGACTTCCTAGATACCTAAAATGAGTCACTTCTTCTAATCTTTCGTCTCCTATCTTTATATTCACTCTTTCCCTACTTTTTCTTCCCTTGCATACAAGTATTTTTGTTTTACTTTTATTTATTTTCATACAATACAATTTTATTAATACCGCTTCCATTTTATTTAAAGCTGTCTCTAACCACTCTGTGCTAGATGCTAACACTGCTACATATATATATATATATNGTCTGCACAATGTACCTATACATACATATATATATATATATATATATATATATATACTATTCGGTTATCTTTTGTCAGTTTGTCTGTAGTGCTCATAAAGTATTTTTTAACTTAACAAGGGCGTGTTCAAATCGCAGCAGCAAATTATTACAGTCCCAAGTGGAAACAAGAAAGAAGATACGTCCATTCTCACAGATAATTTATTGCGGGCTTTGCCACTTTTGATCGTTCCCACTATAGTTACTTTGGCTCATGAACTTTTTAAAAAGCTCTTTCATTTTTGGTAATGATATTTATTAAACTAGGGTTTCAAACCTTTACTGTATTTAGGAGAAGTTAAGTACTACTCGTATCAAAAAAAGCTCCCGGTCTTATTCTGACTTATACTTCACGGGTGTGTAATATATATCAAAGGTTTAATATTGTAAAGCAATCTAAATATTTAAGTACCTAACGTTCACTACGAGCTTTATTATTCAGTGGATTTAAGGAGAAAATTCTTTAAATTCCATATGCTCTAGTAATACCCTTTGTGAATTTGACGTTTTACTATTATTGCTTCTGCAACTTTAGCAAAAGCATGTGGTACAAGTGTTCATAGGAGGTCGTAACTCAAAGTTTCGATTTATTTGAAATGCAACTGTCGACATTCTGTTACAACAATCGAAGACAGAAAGTTTGGCGTTGCAAAATCGATAATATCGGCTAAATGTTACTTTTCGTTTCGTCAGTTTCAGCTTGTTCCATTGTAAGTTATGAGGGCTAGTAGCTAGTAGCGTGTAACGGTGCTCCTTTGCTAGGTAGCAGGAATGGAAGAACGGAACGGAATCGGTCGTGAAATCCGTGCACACCGTAAAACAAAATGTATGGCTCAATACTTTAGCGTGCCGGTTGCGTATTAAAATCTAAAAAGCAGGAAACCGCGCGTTATTGCTGGTAACATCTGGCAGAACTCAAGTACGTACCTACCGGTAAGCAGCCGGCGCGGCGAGCGAGCGAACGAGCTACTCGACGTCGCGTCGCCCTCAGTCGGAGGGCTTCGACGATCTTGATGGGCTGAAAGAAAGGGCGGTAGCCGTGTGGGTGACGGATGTAACGATGAACGGGGTAGATATTGGGAAGGGCGCGGAGCTGGCAACTCGAGGAAAAATCAACGTCCTGAGCTTTTGCAATGCTTGCTGTTTCTTTTCGCATGGACCGGTGAAAAATTTTTATGAAAATTTTCATGAGATGTGATCATAACGGAAAAGGTTAGAAATTTAGAGGCATTGATAAGAGACTAAAGGGCGCTATGGAAGTCAAAAAAAAAAAAGAGAGAGGACCAGAGATGTGCAAAACGGTTTTTTAAAAGTATTTAAATACAAAATGCAAATACTTTTTTGATTTAGAAAATACTACACATGGCGCAGTAAACGCCATCTGTGGCAGATGCTGCATTTTAGGATTACGTATGCTCCGGCGTAGCTAACCTCAACGTGATAGGAACGTTACCATAATCATATAAAATAATTCGAAGTGGTCTGTATTCTGTAGAAACTGCCAGACGCGGATCGCGATTTCGATCTTTTTGGATCTCATCAGCGCGTCGCAGGCAGCTCCGACAGAACACAGACCAACTTTTACCTGCTGTCTTAACAGTGCGTTTTAGAAAATACTACAAATGGCGCAGTAAACGCCATCTGTAGCACGATGCTACATTTTAGGATTACGTATGCTCCAACAAGGTCCACTTGTGTGGATATCTACTTGCTGAAAACGAATCCCGGCGTAGCCAACCTCAACGTGATAGGCACGTTAGCTTAATCGAATAAAATAATTCGAAGTGGTCTGTATTGTGTCGAAACTGCCAGACGCGGATCGCGATTTCGATCTTTTTGGACCTCATCAGCGCGTCACAGACAGCTCCGTTATCACGTTGAGGTTACCTACGCCGGGATTCGTTTTCAGCAAATAGATATCCACACAAGTGGACCTTGTTGGAGCATACGTAATCCTAAAATGTAGCATCGTGCTGTAGATGGCGTTTACTGCGCCATTGTAGTATTTTCTGGCTTACTTTAACAAAATTCACATTTCAGGTTAAAATATTGACTTAGGTATATATAGCTACGTATCTTCGAAAAGTTTCGGAAAAAGTTGTTTATTAATTTTCAAGCTAAAAAATTCCTTGTCGCTCCCAATTACTCCGGATTTACTACATGCTCACCAAAATATTTTTGATGTCACGATGAACATTCTTGTTACCTATAAAGCCATAGTACAGGGGCAGATTTCGTACCCCAGCTGCGAGGATAATAACGTCAGTCCTAATTTCCCAAGTGCTTGGGAGTCTCCCTTTATTCCTTTACCTCAAAATTCAATTTCCATCTTAACCAGCAAATTCCATTCCTCTTCTCCTGG